ACCTCCTACCGTAGGCCGAGACTTTTTGGTCCTAGGATCCCTCGGCCTACGGTAGGAGGTCCTAGGCAATGCCGTATGCCTAACTACCCCATTTTCAGGCCGTTACCCTATGAATTCACAAAGGTCTCTCCTGAAGTTTTGTGCGGCCGCACAAAACTCGACGTTCATAGGCTAACGGACTAAAAACGGGGTAGTTAGGCCTACGGTATTGCCTACGGTAGGCCGTAGGGCTCCTATGACCAAAAAGTCCTAGGATTTTGGCCTACAGTAGCAGGTCCTAGGCAATCCCGTAGGCCTAACTACCCCATTTTTGGTCAGTTTACCCTATCAACGTGACTTGTACACTCCACTGCAGGCGCGCGGCCTCACGGGGGACTTCCCCCTGTTCGAGACCATCTACGCCATCTCGACGGGCGCGCGCCCGGCCTCGGATATCGTCGACCAGGTTGCGAGCCCCACCTCTAGGGTATCCCTAGCGTAGTGCCCTCCTAGGTACGCTAGGCGCGCAGGAGGGTACTAGGCTGTACAGGGGTACCTCGTTGATAAGAAACGCCCACCCCCCTAGGACCACCATAGGGCCCTAGGCATAGGCTTACTGTAGGGCCCTAGGAGGAGGCGGTTTCCTATGAGCGAGGTACCCCTGTACGTACCACGCCAGAGCCCTGGAAGGGGTCGTCAAAAGTCAATTCCTCCTTAGGGCAGTGGTTTTCAAAAGTCAAAAACCGCTTCCTGACGCGGTTTTTGACTGATTTACCCCCTCCTGCACTCTGGCGTGGTAGGGGCCTGGTCTCGGACATCGCCACCCAGGTTACCTTGAGCCCTTCATTCAAATACGTTACGAGGCCCTGAGTATGATTGATTTACCCTAAACTCCAAACCCTTAACCCATATCTCCAATCCCCAAACCTTAAACCCGAAACCCGAAACCCGAAACCCGAAACCCGAAACCCTACAACCTAGACCAAACCCTCAACCCTAAAACTTCAACCCTAAACGCTAAACCCTGAACCCTAAACCCTAAAACCCTAATCGGCAGGCGCACACATACTACTAGACACGTCTCCACGACCGCCACTTTACTACTAGCGTCCGGGGTTGCGTCCCCTTACGTACCAGTCGCGTCCCGCGTACAACTACATGTAGTAGTAGGCGGACCATTTATATATACATGTCCCTTAAGTGGCCAGTAGGCTCATACGCCCTACCGTAGAGCCCTAGGACCTGCCTAGGACCTCTTGGGGGTCGAATTCGACCCCCTGGCCACTTAAGGGATCACATGTAGTGGTCGCGTCCAGCGTACTACTACATGTAGGGTCGCGTCCGGACCAGTAGTCAACTCGCCTCATGTACAGGGGTACCTCGCTCATAAGAACCCCCCCCCCCCATGTACCCCATAGGACCACCGTATGGCCCTAGGCATGCCCCTACTGTAGGGCCCTAGGGGGGGGCGGTTTCTTATGCGCGAGGTACCCCTGTACCACTACGCCCCCCCCCCACGTACCACTACAGGGGTACCTCGCTCATCAGAAAATGCCCACCCCCTAGGACCACCATAGGGCCCTTGGCATAGCCCTACTGTAGGGTCCTAGGAGGAGGCGCTTTCTGATGAGCGAGGACCCCTAACAGGGGTTACTCCAAAATTTAGGACAATCGCCGCTCTAGGGCCCTACAGTAGGGCTCTGCCTAGGAGCATAGGACCCCCCTAGGGACGGTGCGTGTCCTTGATTCGAGTAACCCCCGTCTAGATGTTCTCCTCCCCCCCAGGACCCTTAGGGGGTGGTCTAGTGCTGCTAGGGCCTTGCGGCTCGTCGCACCTCGCCTTCTGGCTCGCGGTCGTGTTTCACAATTTATTAAACCCGCTTTCCCTATGGCCCATAGTCCCTACACGCGCGCTCAGAATCGACTGCAGAGGAACAGGGGTACCTCGCTCATAAGAAACCGCCTCTCCCTAGGACCCTACAGACTATGCGTAGGGCCCTACGGTGGTCCGTGGGGGGGGGCAGTTTTTTATGAGCGAGGTACCCCTGTAGGCCTACCGGAGGACCCTAGGGCACTGCGTCCTGTTCGTGGCTGCCCTGGTCGTGACCCTGGTCGGATACAGAGATACCTCGCTCACAAGAAACTGCCCCCACCATAGGGCCAAAGGCATGGGCCTACTGTAGGGTCCTAGGGGGAGGCAGTTTCTTACGAGCAAGGTACCCCTGTAGCGCGTGTTCAGTGCCGGGAGAGACGCTCTTGTGGCACCACCCTGCTACTGGAGAGCGCTCGCGTGGCTGCAACGATGACTGCGCCTTCACTCTCTTGCTAGAGAGAGAGAGAGGAAGAGAGGGGGGGGGGGAGAAGGGAGGGAGTCAGGGAGGGAGAGAGAGGGAGAGAGAGAGAGCGCGACTTGCTCCAGGACTATGCACCACCACCCGGGCCAAGGTGACGCCGTAGCGTGTTGAGGAGAATCATGACACGAGTCTTTGGATGGATGCGCCGCCAGTCTTCTGGTGTGGAGGGGACCAGGAATCAGACGTGACAGGCCTGAGGGTTCATGGTAGCCCTAGGGTCCTGGGGGGAGCTTTAGCAAGGTTCCCCTCGTACCTGGACCCTACAGGAGGACTATGCCTTGGGCCCTACGGTACTCCTCGGGGGTGGCGGTTTCTTATGAGCGAGGTACCCCTGTACCCCGACACCGGTACAAGTCACGATAGGTCCGACCCTCCTAGTAGCGGTTACTGATTCGGGCACACAACAGTACCGGTAGGACCTACGAGCTCGTAGTGCGAGCCTCGTATCATGATATTCAACCTACACGCCCGCCCGCCTCCCACTCTTTCTTCTTTTCTTTTT